GAACGCGGCGGAACCGCGTTCCGGCACCTTTTTCCGGGCCGGCCGCACCGGAAATAGCCCCTCCCACACCGGAAATAGCCCCTCCCAAATTTTACTTGCATTCCTGTTCTCTAAAGGGGCGGTCCTAGGGTTTGATGAGGGCGTGGCCAGGTTTGAGTTCCGCCACCTTTTCTCCGAGAAAAAAAGCCCTGCACATACACATTGTGTACTGAAACTGGAAACAGATGGTGCAAACTGTCTTTAAAAAGTAACAAAAACATCAGCTATGAGAACTCAAAATGCTGATGGTTAGCCCTTCTAAATGGAAATCAGTACTTATTTTACTTATATGAGTCATAGCAACCGGACTTCTTTTCTTGAAGAAGCTACTTGGATGAATAGCAAAACATTTCAAACCAAAAACCAAAAAAGAAATCCAGATGCCATTATGTAACTTCTAGACAACTTAATCTGGATAACTGAGATTCTTCATCAACTATACTTATTTTTAATTGTATGGAATTAAATAAATCCCCGACATAACAGGTGAACATTTTTGGACTGCCCAGATTCTACTGTTATCTTCCTTTTTCTTTTCCAAGTACTTTCCCCCCCTGATTATGGACAGGACAATAGCTTCCTTTATCCCACATCTCATAATTTATGTCAAGACACATCTGTGTAGGAAAAGACCCTGTTCCCATTTTTAGTGTTGCACACCATACCATAGCAAAGGTAAACATATTAATAAGTGTACGATACTGTACTTGTCTACTCAGATAAATCTGCAATAAAATAGTAAAACATGCCCACCAGAAGGAAGAAGCAAGGAGAAATTAGAAGGCTTTTGATTATGATCTTCATATTATTTGCTTGTCTTTGGTTCATTTTAAATTTGAGATATTTTAAATGAACTGTATTAAATTAACACGATTTGCCCCATTTATGTTCATTGCTCATTGAGTAAATTCATTCTGAGCACAGCGTTTAGGGGGGATAAGGCAATATAATTACAACCATTACAATGTATTACAACCATTCATTTAGCAACTTTTCAAAGTTACAACGGGACTGAAAAAAAGTAAATTACAACTGGTCCTCGCACTTACAACTGTTGCAGGATGCCCACGGTCACCTGATCAAAATTTAGGCACTTGGCCGCCAGGATGCATTTACAATGGTTGCAATATCCCAGGGTCATGTGATCGCCATTCACAACCTTTCTAGTTGGTTTCCAACAAGCAAAATCAATGGTGGGAGGTGGAATTGCTTAAGGACTGTGTGGTTCACTTAACAACCGCAGTGATTTGTTTAACAACTATGGCATAAACTATTATAAAATTAGGCGTGACTCCATTAACCACCACCTTGCTTAACAACAGAAATTCTGGTGTCGATTGTGGTTGTAAATCAAAGACTATCTGCAGTTTTCTTATAAGATCAGACTAGGCCTCTGCCTGATTTTCCATGACATAAGTAAGTAGTCCCTATCCTAGGTTTTAGTTGAGTGTTTGGCTGATCTTCAGTGACATTTGTTTTCTTCATAATGCCTACTAATTTATGTAATTTGTATATTTTAATGAGTTACAGTATGTTCTTTTGTTATATTGTTTTATTATTTTACTCTTCATATTAAGAAAGGAAGATAGGAACATTATTTTTTCAGTATCCTATTGGAAAGGCATGCCATTTGAGTCTGATTAAGTAAATAAGCAAATCAACAAAAGTAAACTGATTAGGAATATTTGTAGTTTGTAGTAAAATAACATGGGATTTTTCCTGCCTGAATAAATAACAACCTATGGAGGGTCAAGAGTTTTCAGTGGTAAAAATTAACAGTGGTGATTAACAACATGTTCCTGTTCCAGTTTGAACTAATTCCTTCTGCAACTCTTCCTTAAAATTTGCACAATACTTCCACATGTAGCATGGCCCTTTAAGTGAAGCTTTTAATAGCGAAGAGGCATGTGGCCAATATTTAAAACATAAACAGACTCAGAGGGTCCACTACTTTGTCCCAAAAGCTGATAATTGATTTAAGGATAATATTCACTTCAATTAAACTATTGAAAAAAAAATGCAAGGGAAGTTGTTCCAGTTTTCTATATATTATTGTAATATACAAATAAAGTCCAACTTTCCCCCCCACTCATCAAAAGAGTGAGTCACATTGAATATCAATGCAAAGGGCCATTTCAAAGTAATGTTTGAGAGTACCTTTGCAAAAATGGTCTTGACATATATAGGGAGGTCTCCTTGTGGACTTCCAAAGCCTCCTACGATGCTAAAGCCCAATCCATCTGAGCCTTTCTCCAACACAATGATTTTAGGTTGAGGTGCTCTTAAAAACAAAACAAAAAATACCCATTAATACATTGCTTATTTAATATGAGGAAAAACAGCATCACTATAGCTGGCTCATTCCATCAGAGCAATGGCTATCTTCCGCTGCTTTTGCCTATTTTGTTAATGGTTCCCAAGCGTAATATCTTTAGCCCTGGAAGCTCTTGATGGGAGATAATAAAGTCTGGAATACAAAGTATGGATTCCATAATTGATCCTCCCAGGAATTAGCTATGGGCTTGCAATAATGCTGTCAAATCCCACCCACCCTCGGCAATACTTCTCTATCTTTATTTTCAATAGCTGAAATCACAAAATATAACACTTCCCATAACTGAAAATGTTATGTGCTACTGTTTTCTGCAGCTATTACTACTGTTAGAATTCATGAAACAAAGAATGCATAGCATTTAAACGCTACAGATTTCCTTATGTATTCAAAAGATTAAACTGGCTTTGTAAACAGACCATTCCATTAACAAAAACTGTCCTTCAAAATCGTATTAAGTGGATGAAGGAAAAAAGGACCGGTCTACGGGAAGTCTAGACAACCCTCATGTTCCTTCAGACCTCTTCTGTCTCAATCAAAATATACCTCTTGATCAATTCTCTCTACGCCTTGATCATATAAGCAGGCTGGGTGGCATCATAGTTTAAGATTAATTCCATCACAAGGATGGTGTGATGGAATGTAGTCTGGATTCCCAGGAGGGAGGGTGTGCATTCCAGAGATGCAAAAGACAACTCAGTTCAGATAGTTTGTGTGTGAGAGAGTGAAGATGGCTACTCCTTAATAGTTCCCAGAGTATATGCTTTAGTGAAGCGTTACTTTGCTTTAGTTTGGCAAGATTCTACCTATGGGTGAGTAACAATGAAGAAATCTGTTTGGGAGAATCACATCATTTATTTGTTGAGTTTTGGAGCTTGACAGATGGCAGGCTGCATGGAGAAACATGGTCTACACAGACAGAATCATTCCAAACAGGATGCAGCAACAAGCTAGTGCTCTGCCTTGAATGCCTCCTAGCTGAAAGCACTTCATGAAGAACAGGATAATGCTAGAAGAGAGCTTGAATACCCAGCTTAATAATGGTACATGCTATTTGGGAATTACTGCCACTAGAGTAAACAACTTGAGTGACATGACCATATTTCCAGTCATAAATTCCTGCAACATAGATGTAGAGATAGGTATTTATGTTTATTTAACTAGGAAGATAGTAACAAGGACAATCTCCATGGGCCTCATGCCTAAATGAAGCAACAATAGAAACAAGAGCTCAGCAAAGTGCTGTTCCTAAAGCTTTGACATGCATCTGACTAGCAGGAAACTAAGAATTGGAACAATTCTCTTCTACACCGGGGTGTCCAACCTTTGTAACTTTAAGACCTGTGGACTTCAACTCCCAGAATTCCCCAGCCAACATTGCTGGCTGGGGAATTCTGGGAGTTGAAGTCCATAAGTCTTAAAGTTGCCAAGGCTGGACACCATTGTTCAAAATAATTGAACAAGAAAGTGCTTGGCAAAAGATTGCCAAGTCTCTTGAGGAAAGATGTATTTCAAATGCAAGAACTAATGCAATATATTACAGCAATATATGTCTGTGTGCTGCAATTCATGAATCCAAGTGAGAAATTAATTTTTCAAAAGAACAAGTTTGTAGAGCATTTATCAAGACATTTTTGGGAAGATTCCACATTTAATTTCTCTAGTAGAAGTTCATCTGGAATTGCAGTTGTCATAAATCATCTCAAGCGAAAACACAACCAGGCAGAAGGATAATAAACATGACAACATGTCAGTGGGGGAAAACCCACCCAACCTCAGAAGATCTGCTTGTTCTTTTAATCAGTGAAAAGAATGAAAACAAAAATCTTCCAGCAGTCTGAAAAATCCACAATAGTATATTTTGCGCTATTGGAAAATTTATTTGAAATTAGAAGCTTGAAAGCAGAAATGTTTACATTACCTATCAGGAGAGAGGACCATAAAAGGTTTCTACAAATGCTACAAAATGGATATGGAGATGGGAAATTAGAAATATTGAAAGCATGCCTGATTCCGATTCATGAACTAATACCCATAATTTGTATTTGGACCACCATATATTCAGATGCACAGGGAGAATGACTGGGGGCTACTTCTATGTCCAAATATCTGTCAAACTTAAGGAAAACAGAATTCCACAATTCATGTTCAATATAATTCTGCACTGGGTAGCATTTATACAGAACTTGAATCATATGAATAATGGCCTATCCTGTCATATACAAGAAAAAAGGCTCACCCTCAAAGTTGAGAAACAGCAGAACGTTGAAATAATCTGACAGTATAGAAGATGCAGACCTGAGCATTTTATAGCCCGTAGGGAACTTTTAGCCCCTGGGCTGTTTCTGTCCAGCCCGTGGCACTGTTGGAGGGGGCAGCGCCAGTGGGAGACAGGGCAGCATTGGCAGGCCATCATTGGTGGAGCCAGGCAGGGACCCTCCACAATAGTCCCAGTTTCTCATGTGGCCTATTGGGGAAATTAATTGCCCACCCCTGCTCTAATGCAATACACAAAATCCAAAAGCTTGCATGCATGAAAAATCAATTATACATCAGTCTCTCTTCATAACAGCGTTTTCATTATTTACCCTATTTTCTATCAATAAATGACACAAGCGTCAAACTAGTGCATGAATCTGTTCTTTCATCTATCAGATTATCAGCAAACGTGTGTACTTACTCTGGGTATTCAGAATGATGCTCGGCGGGTGGAGCAAAGTTAGTGTTGGAAGTCATATTCTCTATCTGGCTGGCAATGGCACTGATGTTGGTATCAGCCACCACCTACAGTGCAATGGAAGAAGAAACAAGTATCAACAAGGTGTGACTTACTACTATTAGAAAAATACTAGCAAATGGGCTATATTTGATGGACCAACCAGAAGCTGAAGCACCCATAATATAGCCTGCTTAAGGCTCAAGTGAAAACTGATAGATTAATAAGTGAATCAAGAACATGTTTATTCAGTTACTCCTTTAAAGAACTGATTCAGTTCAATTGGACCTGGGGGAGCAAAGGTTCAGACCACGGGTGACTCTTTGAGCCTAAAAGTTCATTGTAAGGATTAATCCACCCTTACAATGACTTTATCTTTAAATGCAGGCAATATATCAATTCAACTCAACTTTCCAGTTAGAATGAAGTCACTGTAAAACTGCTCATATTTCCTGGATTTTTGTTTGCTTTTAATGGCAATTATCTATGCCTCTCTCTCTCTCTATGCCTCTCTCTCTCTCTATGCCTCTCTCTCTCTATGCCCTCCCCCCTCTCTCTCTGTGTGACTGGCAGAAAAAGCACACCAAAGTTCAAGAATCTCACAAAAAGCTTTTTCTTATCTCATTACCAGGACTGCAAACAGCTGATTCAATTATTGAAGAACATCCGAACAACCAGGCTGGATCAAATATTCCCTGGAGATCCTAATCTCTCCTTTGCAAAGAGCATTAACACATTTCTTTGCCGTCCTGCCCAAGACATCCTGACAATTAGCATTTCCACAGCTTTATCTCCAGTCATCTGACCTTTCCTACCCAGTTACCATGAGGTCATTTTGCTGAAAGTAGAATTACTTACTGATGTGTCAATGATGGATATCAGATTTTTAAAGAATGAATTCGCTTCTTTGGTATGAATTCAACTTCAGGCCAACAAAGAGCATCGTTATTTAAACACAAAATACTATTCGTAATTTTATGGACATATTTGGATATTGATACAGAGGATGTGAATATGGTAGGCTGTGAAAACAACTAACACCACTTTTTAAAAATTAGCCATACATGTAATAGATTAAGGCTCTTCTAATGCATAATTTAAAATGTGTGGTAGCAAATCTGTATTTTTTTCTCTAAGTTAATTATTTTTAAATAAGAAACATATTGCAGGAGACAGGAATTATTTTAAAACTTGAACATCTGATAATCTGCTTCTCTAGAAGTGCTAATGTAACTGAGAATACAGTTACACACACACACACACACACACACACACACACACACATATATGTTGCTAAGAGTACTAAAAATAAAACACTGATTCCTGGGTGAATTCATATTGCCTGACATAAAATACACGACTACCAGCTAGGTATATTTTATTCCATTAAAACTTTTTATAGTTTTATAATTTTCCTGGTGGTCGTGTATTTTATGTCAGGCAATATGAATTCACCCAGGAATCAGTGTTTTATTTTTAGTACTCTTATAATCTCATATGTCAGTAAATTGAGTTTCCTGCATTGGCAAAATATTACTGCCTGTGTAGTATTTAAAGAATAAGTATTAGCAATTTGTATTAGTATTTGATTAATAGTAGAATATGGCCCCATCCTTGGCTGTCAATGTTATTTTCACATTATTTTAAAGCAGCTAACCATATCATTTGACTAACTGCACATTCCCAATGTTATTCTGTTATTCATCTGCTCCAAAGCAAAAGCTTATCTGCTCCCCAAAATCATTCAATTGTTTTCACCTTGGATTTTCATTGGATGTGGTTCTTGCTTGATATGGTTCTAGCAGCTATTTCAAATAGGCTCCATAAATGTCAAATCAGGCACCACCCTCCATGCCACAATTATGGGCAATTATGGTCCCTTTACGACCTGTGAACTTCAATTCCCAGAATTCCTGAGTCAACTATGCTGGCTCAGGAAACCTGAGAATTAAGGTCCACAGATCGTAAAGGGGCCATAGTTTCTCACTCCTGCTCCATGCGGTGAAAGTATCATGGGCATGAACACAATATCTATTGACCTGAATCTCATTACCCAAACTTGAACAACTGATATTGTTCAACATAATTGCTGGCTGGGGAATTCTGGGAGTTGAAGTCCACAAATCTTAAAATTGAGAAACACTGTGCTAAAAAGTGCTGCAGCCTCTGAATCACTTTGCATTATTTCTTCCATTTCTATCAAAATCCCTCTTTTGAAATAAAACAAGAAGTCAAAAAATATTTCAATGTGCAATCCTTTAAAAAAAATTTTTGTTGTTGGGATCCCAAAGTATTACTCTCAAGACTGATTTCTGAAAATGCTCAAGTAAAATTACTTATTTTGTTTTCAGAAGAGCTTGCTGTTAAAAAGAATGTTTTGTATTTCTGCAGATGCTGTACTTTTCCACACTTACTTTCCTGTGATTCAGCAATTCTTGCCACCAGAGTTTGCTGCTGTAAAAAATGATTTCAACTTTTAAATCTATTTTCCTATTTTCATCAATCTCTTTGCAGGTTATTCCAGTTTGAGATAAACACAGATCTATCAGTGATATTTATTAACATTAAAAACATTCATGTAACACTCAAAAAATTGAATGTAATTATTTTACATTCAGATATCATCCTGAATTTGAAGTGGGTTTTTTTTTTCTGCGCAGGATCATAGGTAATAGGTAATAGGTTTAGACATCCTGTATTTTAGGTTTTCTTACATAGGGACTTTCTCCAGATTGTTACGTATTCAAATTCATTGCCACTTTCAGTTCATGCATTTTTCTCTTTATTTGTGCATTTTCAATTTTATTTATTTTAACAGTGCTTATATAGAATGTGCTCTAATCAAAACTAATTCTAAGCAGCATTCAATTCCCCTCTGTGGGGAATAAACCAAAAGCAAAAAAATATACCACACAAAATACAGCCTGTGTACAATTGCATATCCAAGACCCAGAGAATAGTCAGCCCATACAGCAGTCAGCTCATACAATTACAGCAACTGCCATTGCTAAAGGCAAATGGGTTGCCACTCAGTCTAAACACATGTATATACAGATTAAATCATAGGGCAGAAATGAAATGATGTAATTGCCTTAGGACTGAGCTGTAACACTAATTTTAGAAATTCTCCAAGATAAATGTCCAAGTGAATTTAGAACAATTAAAAATGAGAGAGAGAGAGGAAGGGGGAGACACAGAATGCTTTTTCTAAGAACTGATTCACACAATTGTTTAGACAGATTATTTTGGTGAATAGAATTGGAGCTGGATAAGTTTTTTCAACTCATATAATTTCTTTTCATATAACTTTCAGATTCAGGTAGTCCTCGACCTACAATGAAAATTGACCCCAAAATTTCCATTGCTAAGCAAAGCAAGTGTTAAGTGAATTTTGCCCCATCTTTTTTTGCTATAGTTGTTAAGCAAAATATTGCAGTTTTTAAGTGGATCATATGATCCTTAAGCACATTTGGCTTTCCCCATTGACTTTCTTGGTCAGAAGCTGGCTGGGAAGATTACAAAGGGTGATCACATGATACCGGGACAGTGCTACCGTCATAAATACATGCCAGTTGCCAAGCGCCCAAATTTTGATCACATGACCATGGAGATGCTGCAACTGTCATTCATGTAAAAATCAGTCATAAGTCACTTTTTTTTCAGTGGAATGATCACTAAATAAATGGTTGTTGAATTGATGACTACCTGTACTGTTTACCAGGATTGGAGGCGATTACAGTTATAGTAAAAAGCTAAGCAAAAATAAATGAAAAATCCAAAGCTAGATAGATGACATAGCCAACTCTGTCAACGTTTTACTATCTGATCTTAGACAAGAGCAACAATAAAATCTTCAATTTGCATTCAGGATGTATCACTTGGCAGATACATATTCATTTTCAGCTGGTTCCCAACAGATTTCTACAGATGAATTCTTTTCAACTCGGCTAAGTAAACACCAACTTTTGCTTTGAATATATTCAATATAAAAAATGTTTTGGTATAATAGTTGTAAAATCCCACTGATCTGTACTAGTAGAAAGTTAAGCACCTATCTTCCAAAATCCTGGCAAAAATTAATGGATATAAAATGCATAAGACTCATGACAAGGTATATGATCATTACAGCCCAATAAGATACATTGGGATTTATGATAAGGTGTCTTACTTTTAGTTGTATAGTTCAACTAATAAAATAACCACCTTGCAGTTTATAAACAGGAAAAGAGCACATCTTCATTTTTGCCTTCTCAGATTAAATTAAAATGAGAGACGGATCCCTCCAGTTCAAGCACTGCACCTGGGCTGAAAGCCAGTTGTGTTATAAATCATCACCACTGTTAACAAAGCCTTTTGTCTTGCTCTTTTTCCTCTGAAGGAAATGTCAACTGGATAGAAAAGCTCAATCAAAGCTCCATAGTAAAAGAAGAATCTGTTTTTAGTCAGGTTATTTTTTTTTGTCTCCAACAGTATTTAATTATCAGTATTTATCAATATAAAGTACAAAAGTACAGAGAAAAATGAAAATAATGGAAAAATAAAGCAGGAAAGGGGAAGAGAGAAAAGTGTAGGGTAAAGGGGAGAAGAAAAAGAAAAACATTGACTTAAAACACCTCTTGGTGCAATAGAATAAAATAGAAACATAAAACCTCAACTTTTTACTTTTATATGACAATACACACTAGTCATTTCTCTAACAACAAACTTGCTTAATCACCAAAACCCAAAATCAAAGTTTAATTTTTTCCCCCACCTCAAGCACAAAGTCCAAAAGCAGTTTCCAAGTAGAAACAAAATTAATTGTGTTGTTTTCTTTAACCAAAATAGTCAATTTAGCCATTTCTGCCGAGCCCATCCATTTTTGCAGCCATTCGTCCATTGTGGGAATCAGAGAGGAATCTGTTTTTCTTTTAAAAGTGATGGAAACTAAAACAGCAGAGATTCTTTTATCATCTCTGTTAGCAAGAGAACATTTCTCCCCTTTTCTAATTTAATTCCACCATACGCTCAGTTATATGGACAAGAATAAAATGATTTTGAACATAACAGATTTTTCTTTAATCCTGCGTTAATTGACATCAGCAAGCACACTGTGATGTCTTGTGCCAGACACATTCAGGCCATTATTTAAAATTACCACTGAAATCATTGACACCATTGCACAGTTGTTGTTCAATTTATCATCATACCTGCAGGATGATGCTCCCATAGGCATTCTTCAGCAGATTTACTACCTCAGCATGAGACAGACCATCCAAAGGCTGCCCATTAATACTGACAATCCTATCACCAACCTAAAAGTAAGAGAAAAAAACCAGAACATAAATAGAAATATTGGTAGCATCAGGGATACTGGAGAGATCGACCTGTTTTGCAAGTGTGGCGCTGCACAGTCGTGTTTCTTATTTATAAAAACACAGTAGACCAATTTATAAAACCCACCAGAAGTATTTGTCTTTAAGATTAATGTATCTTCTAAGGCAAGGAAGTTTCAGTGGTAGCAGTCCATATGTGAGCTCCAAAAGGTTGAAATATAAATTTAATGAATAAATAAACAACTGGCCATTGAAAAGATTTATTTTTAAGATACGGTAAAGCTGTCATTCATGATTGATTGTTACTCTGGATTTGTTAACCTTATTTTATTAATAGCATTTTTTAAATTCTTCGACCTGTTTCTATAATTTGTGAGCTGTTTTCAGCAACTATTTTCTAATTCAAAGGGAAATGTGGTGCCAAGGTTTTTGTATAAATAAAAATACCCCCCCAAAAGAACTATTGCTTCAATTTCACAATCTAGGAGCAAAGAGAAATCATTGTAAATGGAAGAAAAAGGTATTGGTAGTACGTGAAACACTATTTTTTCCCCTAGAGCAGACATGTCAAACACAAAGCCCGGGGGCCGGATGCGGCACGTGAAGTGGTTTCATGTGGCCCGTGAAGCCATCCTGGAAACAGTGAGGGAACAGCCCCCGCTGCCTTGGCTCTGACCCTGGTCGGCTGGGAGCCAATGTACAATTTTGTGGTGGTCATCTATGCTGAAACGCATTCAGTCTTAGCTCCACAAGGCTGTCCAGAAACAGCGAGGAACCAGCCCCTGCCGCGTCAGCCCCGACCCCTGGGTGCATGCTGGGGAGGTGTCACCCTTTGTGAGGAATGAAGAAATGCACCATACCTTCACGCTTGCCCCAGTTCCTCCCCCTTCTGCCAGAGACCCTCAGATCTGTTCCACTCCTGCCCAGGCCCCCACAGGCCCCCTTGACGCGAACGATGTAGAGCTGGCCATGCCCACCCAGTAGGCCATACCCACTCTATCCAAGCCCACCCAGTAGGCCGCACCCACCCTGGCCACACCCACCTGGCCCCCCAAGGACAACCGCAATGCTGATGCGGCCTTCAATGAAATTGAGTTTGACACCCCTGCCCTAGAGGTACTTGGTGAAGTGAAGATGTTAGTAACAACTGCTATTCTTTTTTCCTGCAAGTCATCCAGTGTCTTCTGAAATTGAAAAGAAAGAAAGAAAGAATAATAAAGTTCCTGTTCTTCTACGTTGTATTCAGAAATTGGAAACTGCATGACATGAGTTCACTGTCGTGATTGCAGACATCGTACTGCTGAAATGCAATTTTCCACAATTGCTGTTATTCACATCAGGGGACAAAAATGACGTTCTTTAGCAGCAAAATGAATGAAGCGCCTTATGAAGTTGGAAAAAGAAACATTTTTGGAGGTAATAAAAACACCAACAGCAGCAAGAAAATGGAGCTAGTGTTTATGCATGTATCAGTCACTCTTTCACTTACTCGTAGTTTATGCGTGCGGGCTGCCACTCCGTTGGCTTGAATCATAGCAATGAAGATCGGAATATCTGCCAGGGGACTTCCCTTGCCACCAGCAATACTGATACCAAGAGCATCGTTCAGGCCCTTAACAGAGAAAGCACGGTTATAAGAATCCCTTACTCTGCCCAAGTTTCAAATACCGTATATAACCTGTGGACCTGGCGTCACATGGGATACAATTAAGCAAGGACACAATGTGATATCTTGTTCAAAAATTCCATCTCCATCTCTCAAATTTTCAAATTGCTTTAGTGACATTATTAAACACATGCAAAGGAAGCATTTTTTTTTTGCATTCATTGAAAGCACTGTCATTTGCAGGAGTGTGAGATTTCAATGACATAATACTAAAATCTTTTAAAAAATATACAGTACACGAGTCTCCTAATATTCTCTAGTGGGAAGCTGAGGTACTGTGGTCAAGATAATTCCATAGCCTCTTTTATTCATTTGTTTAATTTGCAAATAGATCAGAACGCTATAAATTTACTCATTGTTTACACGCAGGACAAAATAACATGGTTTTGCTCTTTCTCTCTAAATATATTAAATAAAAAAGAAATTACTGACCCTTGTGATTTCCACAGTTCTTGGGCTTATGTCTGCTCCAACTGACAACAAAATAAATATACAGAATAATTAAAGGCTAAAACTATCATGATATTATTACTTCAAAATGATCACAAACGCAGTATAATAATAATAATAATAATAATAATAATAATAATAATAATAATAATAATAATAATAATAATAATAATAATAATAATAATAATAATAATAATAATAATAATAATAGTGCTCCTTTCCCCAAACTGAGGGTTTTAAGATGTACTGTATTTGTCTACAACTTCCTGAATTCAAGATCAATATGGCCAATAATTTGAGAGCCAGTTTGGTCTAGTGGGTGTGGCACCTGCTAGAAAGCCAGAGACTATGAGTTCAAGTCCCACCTTAGATATGAAAGCCAGCTGGGTGACCTTTGTCCAGTCACTCTTTTCTCAGCCCAGCCCTCCTCATAGGGTTGTTGTAGTGAAAAATAGGAGGAGGAAGGATATGTTCACCACCTTGAGTTATTTGTAAAAATAATAAAGGCTGGATATAAACAGATAGGCAGATAGACAGTAAAGGGGGCTAAAACATTCTTTAAGTTCCAGGAAACAAAGTAATATTTGGAATCCTCCTTGATTATCTGCACTATAAGAAGGAGAGAATTTGTAAGATTCTGTTATTATAACCAATCTCAATAAGTGCAGTAGTGTTCTTGAGCAAACTGAAAAGCAGAATATCCATTATAATTCACAGAAATGTTAATTGCTTGTTCTCTCTGATACCTGAATTTCTCTGAGAAGGATCGGCAGATGATCTCTTAGTACTGACTAAATTCTGCAAAGTGGAGATAACTGGAGCAAATGTAGGATGAAAGTGGCTTTGGACATTATGCTGGCTCATCTGAAAATCCAAGAAAAACCAGTAAGGCTCAAGATAGAATTTGCAAGGTGGTTCCACACATAATCCACATCAGCTGTTTTACAGTTTCTCTCATTAGTTATAGCATCTCTCATTAGATCTGTTCATTAAACCACAGATGATGCTTATGTTATCCAAGATACTATCAAGAATTTCTATATCACTACTAACATATTCACACAAAGAGCCACACTTCAGAATTTAAAATGGATTTTTCTTTAAAAAAAATGTATAGAAACACACATGAACAAAATTCTAATTTGGCTTTTTAGATGACGGAAGACATATTGTGCCAACATGATAAAGAATCAGGGAGTCTGGCAACTGAGGCTAAAAAAAGTTGGAATTTATTTATTGCACTTGTAACTTTCTTTAGACTTTTTATTCCATCATATCTGGAGCCCAGCTGCTGGGAGGCAGGAACAAAACTCTACCACTCTCTTAATGAAATAGATTTTCAAGCTGCAGAACACTAATCAAATATCTGGATCAATGTTTCTCTCTATACTGAGGGAATTCATTAGCAGTAGCATTCTATATGCTGGAGAAAGACTAGCAGAGTGCAGAGGTAATACCTAGATTTGACTTGTTTAGTTTAGTTTAGTTTAGTTTAGTTAAGTTAGTTTAGTTTAGTTTAGTTTAGTTTAGTTTAGTTTAGTTTAGTTTAGTTTAGTTTAGTTTAGTTTAGTTTAGTTTAGTTTAGTTTATGTAAGGCAAAAATAAATGGTGTATCAAAAGTTTGGAAGTTGGGCACAGATTGGGGAATGATCCTAAACTGAAATGAAAACATATGAGAAATAATACTGTTAAATATCTCTATGTCTTCCTGGAAGAATGCAGAGTGGTTTGTCGGGTAATAAGAATATAACGTACTGTGTTTCATTATTATCAGGATACGAAGGTTCGTTTTAATTGTATCTTATTTCCTTCACTCCATGTAAAATGGATAGATAGCACGAGATGACTATTGTGGCTACAAGTGGCTTGTGAAAATTACTCTGCTCCCGTACCCTTTTTGAAATTAATGGTTTCATGAAAAATCAAGTATGTGCATAAGTGTACAGAAATTATAAAAAAATTATTTCTAAAGCAGGATTTTTCTGTCAGTTAAAGCACAGGAATTGTCCCATCTATTAACATGGCCCTCAGATAATTAAAAATGATGGATATAAAAAGATTTTTTTTTAAATTAAGGTTATATTTAAATTCAAAGGTAATAATTTTATTCCGATGATCACATCAGACAAGACAAACTATATACAAATTATTTTGGGGATCTATTACTTTATCATTCTTTTTAATGCATTGCCATCTGCTACTAACCTGACTGTTTTGAGATGTCTTCCTTGAGGATAACAAAGATCCCGCCCTCAGTCGTCCAATCTCCAGCTGCACAAGTCCTTGGGCACACTTCGATATACAAAGTACAAGATAATAAGTATTCATTTTTATTGATGTCCCTCCAAAAGTTATACCTTTAAATAAATCATGACCACTTAAAATGCCCTAGTCCCCAGAAGACTTGGCAACATCCATTTCCCAACTTGCTCTTTTTCTCCAGGTTAAACTCTATTATAAACTCTATTAAAAGACTGTATTTTTAGCTGTAGAAAATATACCTGATATTGTATTCAATAGAGTACACTGTGTCAAAGGACTATACAATTGAAAATTATTTTTAGCTGTATACATTGAGCTAAACTGTGCTTTGTTTAATTAGTGAATGATCCATATTGGCCCAGTCCACACACTATGTAATTCTGTAAACAATCTATGTTATGGCTTACTGGGATCTGCAACTGATCTTGTCTTTCTATTTTATGAGGAATAATCAGAAAATTAAGGCAGCTTTTATACACTGAAGCAGTATTGCATAGTAGGATTACATTATCTGCTCTTTTACAAAATGCATGTTAAAATATTTTACTGATAAACTTGGTTTATTTCCATTATCTACAGTTAAAATTAAATAGAGTGGATAATTAAACATAAAAACTATAGATAAATCATAGCACATAAAATGGAATCTTCTACCATGCTTGTTTTTATGAGATTGAACTGTGTTTGAACACTTTGGTTCAATTTTGTATTTCCAAGCAATGTTACATTTTACATAGACTCAACTACATACTCACCTTAAGAATGGTGGCTACTACCTCTTGAGAAGCATGTCTGACATCCTCACCATTGACAGATAATATCTGATCTCCTTGAATTAGTCTTCCATCGAGATCAGCAGCTCCTCCTTTGACAATGTCAGAGATAAACACGCCACTTCCATTTCTAACAACACAGGGAACATATGCACTGCATTATTAAACAATTAAACTATAAATGCTACTTATCTGCAATTCCATATTGTTAATTATTTCTAGCCCAAAAGACCTTTCTAAAGACAATAATATCTCCAAAAGCAATTTTCACTGATGGACTCCTCAATCAGAAAGGTCACCTTCTGTCACTTATGCCAATTTATTGTGGTATGCCAAATTGTTCTGCTATACCGCTAAGTTGTTATCATCAGTAAATTTTCAGATAAGAAGCAATCGCTATCAATTTACTTTTGCACACACGATCATAATGCCAATGTGATACAAAACAATGTGATGGAGAACACACAGTCTTCCATTGAATATTTCATTTTAAGTCTCCTGGCCCTGAACTGGTAAAATGCTAGTATAACTGCTAGCACTTACAATAATTTCAGCATTTTATGTAAATTTTATAAATGTGATATAGCAGTAAGTGCCACTATGACACTTGTATGCCCTCTCTGTTTCTACTATAAGAATAATCTAATTCCGATCAACCGTATTCCTTACCTTTTCCCTACAATGCTAAGTCCTAATCCTCGACCCATTTTCCGTTGTAAATCTACATGGAAAATCTCCAAATTTTCTTCATCTTTATAATGAGCTTCATCTCTATAGACAACAAGCTGCACTTTCGGAGGTGTTTGCCTCAAGGCAGTGATAGCATCTTCATGACTGGCGTTTCTCAAGTCTATGCCATTAACCTAAAATAAAATAAAGCATCCAATTGGACGTACAGTTTACTCACTGGATTTTAATTAGCCCGGTAACAGGCAAATTAGCATGAGCCGCCCAGACTCGCCTTCTGGTGAGACGGGTGGCAAATAAATTTAACAAGTAAACAAACAACACATTTTCCTAGGGCCGTGGTGGTGAACCTATGGCACGCGTGCCACAGGCAGCACGCGGAGCCATCTCTGGTGGCACGCGAGCCATTGCTGGGCCGAGCTGCTCCCTCCTCCTCTCCGCGCATGCGCAGTCTGGGAATAGGCGAGAGGCTATAAAAGGAGCAACTTTCTGCGGAAGCAGCATTTGCTGCAGACAGCTTGAGAGCGAGCACGAGTCGGAGCGGACAGCAAGCGAGTGAGTGAGCACGAGCCAACAGCTCGGTGCCCACGCCCACTCGGTGGCCACACCCACCCGGCACCCGGTGATGCATAAGTAGGTTTTGGGTTGCAGTTTGGGCACTCGGTCTCTAAAAGGTTCGCCACCACTGTCCTAGGGCCTCCCAAAAAGAGGGATCGCAAAATGACATTTTCGGAAAATTGCTTCTGTCATTCCAGCACCTCTATCCCAGGTTAGAGTTAAGGCTTACACAGATTCAGTGTAGAATACCAGAAATTCTGCCAATTCATTTGAAGGATAAATTATGGTTAAACATTTCAAGAAGGCAGTTTTCACCTGTCCCCATTTGACCTAGGAATTTTATTCAGTTTGAACTCCAACATTTGATTGCTCTAGTGAGAACAAGCTAGGAGTGAAAAGACAAATTTGCTTTAATTAACCATAGTTACGATTAGAGCTGCTAGTTATTAAACTAATATACTAATTATAGTTAAATCATAGTTCAGAAACTAGAAGCTCCCATCAGTTTTTTTTGAAAGATTGTACTATGGTTGAGTACTCTGACTGAGCCAACGCTTATGCATAATATTGTTTTGTATAATTCACTAAAATAAATCGTGCTTCTTAAATAATTGAATAAGAATATATCCATTCTTAATGTCTGATAAAATTATTTGAAAATGTAGATTTCCCCAAATCCTTAGAGCAAAGCATGATGATAGAAAAGGCAAATTCTGTATTCTTTTCTGAAGGAGTAATACTGAAATTCTACATGTCTACCGTAAAGTCTACTAATTTCAGTAAGGTTTATTCATGGGTAAATAGACATAGTATTGCTTTCTGACCCTGCTGTTTTGTATGCATAATAAAGATCTACCTGTTTTTCTCTATTTTTTTTTAATTTCACAGTTCTATCCTTTGAAAGCAAAATAATACTTTTATATATTCCAATAGATGGCACACCATACCACAGGAAAGCTTTAAATTGGTCTTAAAACAAATATTAATATTAAATTGCAAATGGAGCCAGAACACTGTTTTCATTATCATCATGGCCAAATAAAAATATCTTTCGGTTTTAACTACTGCAACTTGAAACATGTACTCTAATGTAATTTCTGGAACAGATCTGCTATTATGCTTTATTCATCTCTGACAAAGCAGTTTTCATATTTTTTAAGACCTCCCTCAACTTCTACATTACATTACTAGATTAATCTAATCATCTTGCAAGACATTGCCTTCAAAATGGAAACGGTAGTACGTAGGAGAAAGTTATTTTGGCATAGTAATTAATGAAAGTGAGGTGAAAACCAGGAGAAAATTAGTTGTGGCCCTTTCTTGGACACAAAGTTGGCTGGATGCCTTTAGGCCCATCACTTTCTCTTAGCTCTGGGGAAAAAAAGCAACGGTAAATAACTTCTGGAAAATATTGTCAAGAAAACTTAATGGACTTTTCCTAATAGTTGCTAGGAGTGAAGACTAATTTGAAGTCACACACCCCCTAAGAATATTTATAAATTATATAATATATGATAAGAAATATTTGTGGGACTCAAACAATTAATACTAGATTTTGAATTGTTGGAGCAAATTCTCAATCATAAGCATTTCAACACATCCATACAGTTATCCTGAAGACAAGAGAAATATTCAAGGAAGTAAACTTGAAACTCACTTCCAGAATTTGATCACCAGCCCAAAGTCGACCATCTCTTGCAGCTGCCCCTTCTTCATAAACTTCATGTATGACTATGGCATCCTAGAGAAATATATAAGCTTTATATCAATGCTTATAGTTTAAAAACTGGTAGTTCAGAACATAGAATGATTGATAAGCAGACAGATAGGGAGGGAAGGAGGTAATTACATGTCAAATTTCTCATTACACATAAATATATTAAATATTAATAGACATTGTGTTAATGTTTAAGACCTGCTTTAATACTGTATGCAGGTTTAGGCTGCATCAATAGAATATAGTGTCCAAATCATAATAAGTTAATAGTTCCATTATATTCCCTACTGGTCAGACTCAAACTTGAGTAACTGTATCACAATTTAAGAATTCAGACAAATTGAAACAGATTCATAAAAGGGCACAAGGATGATCACTTGACTTATATATTCTGCAGAACTATTGACCAGTTTCCCACCTATTAGGGAAAGATTAATGAGAATGTGGTGGCATTGATCTGGATCCAGTTCAATTCAGATTCTAGCCTGGATATCAATGGAAATGACATTGATTATATTTGTGAATGTTCACTGGTAAAAAGTGAATGGAGGAATATGATGCAAAGTGCTAGTCATCATCTTTAAAGCCCTTCATATTTCAGTCCTGGGGATATATGAGACCATTTTCTCCTTGTAACATTTGAGACAATTATCTGATGACATTGGGGTAGAGCAGAGTCACTTTAGCTCTGGGATTGCCATCTGGAAGAACCATAGAACCTTGCCTTTTCATTATGGCTTCCATCCTCTGTAATAGCTTGAGCCCTGGATGACCCAAGTGGTCTCCTGCCTCCTAGCTTTTAGAAAGTTAGATTTAGAAAGGCAGATTTTGGCTACATCTGTGATTTTTTTTTTCATCTGAGAGTAATTCGTATTAGACTTCTACCAATGTTAATACAGGAAGGTGATTCATTTAATCTTGGTGATATCTAAATCGACAGATTTAATGAAGAATCAAAGTTTGAAGGACTTCATGGGATAATTTAATATGATTCTTTTCTTACACTACAATGCTGCAATTCAATATCCCCCCCAAAAAATCTCAAAGTTTAACAGCTTCTGCAAAAATGTTGTTCTAGGAACAACGATATACATATTTACTGAAAGGAGAAGAGACGACAAGCAGGAAGGATGCAGAGACTGCTTTTATCTCTTCATGAACTACATTACTTCCTTTGAAAGAATGCACAGATGCCTTCATGGGTTAATCTCTAGCTATCGCTTTTAACAACGAGCCATGTAGGATGCAGAATAAACATTTCAAACTGGGCAGAAGACAACATTTCAGAATACAATATCAGGGACACAAAGAATAAGCATATAAAAATCAGAAAGTGATTGTTGTAATAAGTAAAACAATGCTTTCTAAGCTTGGGTCCTTGTGTTCAGAAGGACAGCTCCTTATAGTTTTATAGTAAAAAAAATGTATCTAAAAATAAAAGAGCAATGAAAACAATCACTCTGTCCCCGTCTCATTCTTTAAAAAATTTTCATTTGGTGCTGAATGGGCATGTAGAATCCAATTAATGCAAAACTACCAAAAAGTTTGGGAGAGTGGGACATCTGTGCCTGATTCGATGGGTGTTGGGGCGGGCAACAGAGACGGCCTCTACATCTGAGAAGGGCCTCCTTGTAGCCATGATTCACTTCTTTGGGGCACTCTGAGAAGGCATTCAAAGGTCTGGGACAGGTATACAAGTAGTCCTTGACTTACGAACACAAATGAGCCCAAAATTTATGTTGATAAGCAAAGCAGTTGTTAAATGAGTTGTTCCTCCTTTTAAGACCTGGTTCAGACAATTTAAAATAAAATTGGATAATCTCTTTTAGAAATATTTTACTATTAGGTACACAGCCCAGTCAAAATTAGCAATTATTCTCATATATATAAACAGATGTCCTTTTACCCTTCCAAGGACATCAGAATCTTGTCTTCAGAAAGCAGTAATCTGCCTCCATTTCCCCATTATTGAAGTATTATTATATCTCTCATTATATCTCTCTCTCAAAAAAAACCCCTTTATTTTATCTGGAAACAATCTTTGGCAAGGCTAGCACATTAGCACAAGACAACAGTCTGTAAGTCCATTGAGTTTCCTTAGGAAATATGATTAAAATTACATTTGGTGTATTTATTTTCTAGGCTTGTTAAACGATCTGAACAAAGCACTATCTGCCAAGTCTTTCTTTCTTTCTTTCTTTCTTTCTTTCTTTCTTTCTTTCTTTCTTTCTTTCTTTCTTTCTTTCTTTCTTTCTTTCTTTCTTTCTTTCTTTCTTTTTTTCTTTCCTTCCTTCCTTCCTTCTTTCTTTCTTTCTTCCTATTTCTAAACCACTCATATCCTTCAGAGGTATAAGAGAAAAGTACACATATTACTTAAAAAGGGAATTGAAAATTTAAATCTTCACTTTGGATACATAAAAGGAACACTAAGAACAAACATTTACAAAACGGTTTGTTGTTTCTTCTGAAACAAACATTTACAAAACAGTTCATTGTTTTCTTTGAACATAAGTGAACTATCAGTCTATGTTTACAAGCAAAATTTTCCACCTTTTTCTCTTCAATTTCTGTTACTTCCACTTCCACAATGGATATATAGCTTTTTCTGCAAACTTCCATTTATAGTAAAATTAAATACCTAAAGTTCTTTGAAATCATTGCTGCAAAGGCCCAACATGCATGACCACAGAAAAGGGAACCAGAAATAAATCTCAAAGAGGCTTCTAAAAAGTTACTCCCAGTGTCGATGAGGGAATCTTACCCATTCTGTCTTTCAACAATAACATTTGGAATTTATTTTTGATATAAAACCATCGATCGTAGACAGTATAGTTAGTGGGGGTTCAGGAGAATGTGTTCAATTTAAAAAAACATCTTTCCTGAAGCAGTCCTAACATCACTCAGAGCAAGGTGACACGAAACGAAAAAGACAAGGAGGAAAGCAACAACATCTTTGCCCTAAAGCAGTTCTTTTTTGATTAAAGGATTGTTTCGAAGCTTCCCTTTTTCTTTTAAACCATGCAGCTATCAGTATTTACAACAAGGATGCCAGCTGCAAAATGTTACACTGCCGTATCACATTTCTAATTACTCCGTTTGGGTTTTGAGGGACATTAGTGGCCATTTATTTACAGAATACCACAGAACCGCAAACTGCCGATTTAGGAATCAATCTGTTTACAGGAAGCTGCATAATTAAATTACAATTATTGATTCAAAAATATGGTTTACACATGCTCACAGAGCAATATTGCTTTAGAGGGGGAAAAAATGAAAAATGCAACCAGCATGGGCAGAAAATTAGAGAATGGGTTTTCTGGTTTTTTTTTTAGTAGTACAGCAGTCTGTTTTTCAGATTGCCTCTCAAATAAACAGACAAAGATATCAAAGATCTGCGTGCCTTACATTACACAAGAACTACAGTACAGTCTAAGGCAGTGATGGCGAACCTTTTAGAGACCGAGTGCCCAAACTGCAACCCAAAACCCACTTATGCATCGTCGAGTGCCGGGTGGGCGTGGCCCATTGGGTGGGCATGGCTGTGGTAGTAACGGCAGACTGGGTGGGACTAAAAAGTTCAATCAATCAATTCCAACTTTGCAAGATCTTTTTTTTCCCGCGAGAAGTTGAAATTGACTGATTGATTCTTTTTTCTTTTTTTTTGCAAATGGCAGCGGAGGCCTAAAGCGAAAAGGTTTTATAAAACCCAGCTGAAGGCCTAGGACTGGGGCGACGGTGCACGTGCCCACAGAGAGGGCTCTGAGTGCCGCCTCTGGCACCCGTGCCATAGGTTCGCCACCACTGGTCTAAGGTAAGATATGCAGATTTAATGTTGCACAAATCATAACTTTTTAATCTAGTACAGGTAGTCCTCGACTTACAACAATTCAATTAGTAACCATTCGAAGTTACAATGACAGTGAAAAAAGTGACTTATGGCCCTTTTCCACACTTATGACCATTGCAGCATCCCCATGGTCACGTGATTTATATTTGGATGCTTGACAACTGGTTTGTATTTATGACGGTTGCAGTGTTCTGGGGTCATGTGACCATTTTTGAGACCTTCTGACAAGTAAAGTCAATGGGGAAGCCAGATTCACTTAACAACCGTGTTACTAGTTTAACAACTGCAGTGATTCACTTAACAAATGTGACCCAGAGAAACAACATAGTCTAGTGCGTATGTATACATATACACGGCAAGAAAAACGAATCTTGCGAGTTTACCAGACGAATGGCACAGGGAACAAAGCTATTACAGAATCTGATATCCTACTAGAAATACTTTGAAACGTCACCCCAGAAGGGAGCAATAGAAACAGACCATGAAGTGGGTGTGTGGGGTCTAACAATGCTTTGAGCTCTAAGCACATAGCGCTTATAAGCAGCATCCTGAATAACTGGAAGTGGGCTTCCTATAATCTTCTCAGCTGTCCTTACCACTCTCTGTATGGACTTTCTATCTGAGGCACTGCTACCATCAAACCAAATTGTAATGCAGTTTGTTAAGACGGTCTCAATCGTACTTCTGTAAAAAGTGGCCAGGACAGAAGGAGAAAGATGTGCTCTCCTCATCTGATGCAGGAAATGCAGATGCTGGTTTGCACACTTCACTAAGGATAACATGTGGAGAGACCAAGTCAGCTTGCCTTCAGAAATTGTGTGCGCTCCATGACTGGAGGTTTTTAAGAAGAGGCTAGACAATCACTTGTCTGAGATGGTATAGGTCCTCCTGCCTGAGCAGGGGGCTGGACTGGAAGACCTCCAAGGTCCCTTCCAGCTGTATTCTGTTCTTTTTGATAGAAGCTCTGCTCATTTTTATGTGGATCTGCACTCTGCAGATAACCCTGAATGAGATTGTTGCAGAAAGTATACCCAATTGATTACATCATCATAATTTCTCTCAGTGGTCCTAGAGAAACACCATGTTGCAATGATATATTTATATCCAGAGTCCACTTAGAACAGACAATAGGAAAGCCAAGATGTGGTATTATGGGTTTGCTGAACTGCAACTAATAAGCCGAATCGAGGAGCTGTTCACAGTGTGCTAATTCTGCTCCAGGAAAATGATCACCCCATGCAGTTCGGTTTCAATAATAATCAAAAGGTAGGCAAAATTTACATATGGATGTGAAAGTTTGCATTCTTGGATGGGGAACAGATCCATGTGCGGTTGTCATTAGGTACAAACAACATTAACAACAACAATGGTAGCCAAGTACCATTGCAATAAAATAGGCAATGTGATGTAGCTGTGTGTTTGGGGCAAGTAAAGTAATAAAAATGGATCCCAAATTAAGTCTGACTGTATGTCAAATGGCATTCTTGGGCCTGTATGCATTTAAAAGAAGTGTACAACAGGTGCCATGATCTGATCTTAAAATGTTAATAAGGATTGGACACGATCCAGGACACCACCTGGAAAGCTGGGATTGCAGGCCATATATATATGAAGAAGACAATGGTAAATAATATTGCTGCCAAAAAAAGCTGTGGATTGAAGTCCAGAGAGACATTTCATCTTCATTTTTTTAATTTGAAAGAAAGTATATCCATATGCATTTGAATGTAATTTTTCATACCAAACTATCAAATGGTTTCAAGGAAACCATTAATATTAGCCTTATGCTTAGTCGAACCTTGTAACTACATCTGGTCCCACTATTGCAGGTTGCATACTAGTGCCTTTATAGTCATAGCCTTTCAGATTTAAAGCCTTCAAACCTACCATTTTAATAGCAATATTCATTTGCATTCCTTCAATGTACTCTTATAAAAAAATCTCCTGGTTTTATTTTGATATAATTAAAGTAATTTAAGTTTTTAATGATTTAAATATTAAAAAAATATTTCTGGCAATCATGCTGTAGCAAATGGTAGAGATGTGTTTTAATAAAACAGAAAAGAAAGAACATTGACAAAAAGGTGAAGGTAACTACTTTGCTTTGATGAGGTAGCTTCATTAACCCCACTGCCCCCCCTCCCAAAATATGCTAAGTAAGCAGGGGGTTGAATAAGAAAATTATGCTTAAGTTGCAAAATTCAGGTACTCTACTTCTTAGGTCTATTGGTATCTTGCAATTTTTTTAAAAAAATCCATCCATCATCTATCTGTCTGTCTGTCTGTCTGTCTGTCTGTCTGTCTGTCTGTCTGTCTGTCTGTCTGTCTGTCTGTCTATATTTTTCATTTCTATGCCACCCATTTCACTAATAAAGCAACTCTGGTAATGATTATACTGTATTGATGGCTCCTGGACAAAGAGCAGAATATAAGACACAGTTTAAAAAAGCAAGTCTTCTTTAAATAACCTGTCAGAAATCATTATTTTCAGAGTAAAGAGACCAGAAACAAGATCCACGTGTTGGATTCCAAGTCGAAAAAATAAATAAATACTAAATTGGGATTGTGTCAAAACAGGAAGAGATTGATTGATTGACTGTATGCCCTTCAATTTTCAAGACCATTAAACTATAAGTGGCTGAAAGAGTTTGCATGTCCTCTAAAGGTCACAGAATTTTTTTCTTATGCACTAAGAAAATTGATATTTCAAAATAGCTTCTCTTGGAATTACAGGTGAGGTTAAAGGACAATTTCTGATTATAATTTAGGTACATGGGTCACAGTTTCTGACAGATTAAAAATTACATTAGATGAACAAATTGCCACCAGAATTAAGCAACATTTTAAATAGTGGCTCTATGTATTTACATTTGTGATCTGTACAGCTATTAACTTCATAAATTAAGTCAAATTTAGAGAGAATCTTGGGTAGCTACAAAGTACAAAGGTTAAACTCACTATGCATTTATACCAAGATATTTGTATATCATTTGGAGTTATCCTAGATGATTTTCAAAGAAGTATACTAGGATGAATCATTAAAAATGAACAATTAAAATGCTAAAAACCTGCAGATTCAAATTAAAACAATTAAAAATATATATAAAGTGATGTAATTATTTGCAACAACAGCCATAGTTGTCTCCTTTTCCCTTCATCGCAAATATAGTCACTTAAGTCCTCTTGACTGGCCAGTCTCTTACCTGTTCAGCTGAACAGTGCTCTATCTCATGGGATATCTCCCTTAAAAGGTGAAACTAAGTCCTCTTTGAGGCAGGATGATTGAATGGAAGACAATTCAGGCTTTAAAATTTCTCCATAAAATCTATGGTCCTAATTAAGTTAGAGAGTGGGAATGGTTTAAGAACCTATTTGAGAAGTAGGCAAAATATTGCCAATGGTTGCCTTCATTAGAAGTACAACAATGCTTAGTTAGAAAAGAAAGAGGCCAGTCTTCATTACAGACCATGTCAAACAGATAACAATGCTGTGCCGAATAAAACTCAACAGGGCAGGTGATATGTCAATCCCAGGTCTTCCACAAGATAAAACAGTAACATTTCTCCAGTTTAATTCATGGGACATTCAAGGACTAATCTGTAGAGAAGAATTCCCTTAACTTCCAAAAACTTCTTCTATCAGCCTAAGAAAGTTGGATATAATTAAGGATTGCAGAGCATCATGGAGATCGCGTTGAGGAAAATATTCAGAAACCATTAGAAAATAAAATGGCAGAAGCGTTCCTTAAGACTTGGGAAAAGAGGTAATGTAAGAAAGAGATCAGGCTGGGTCCTCCATGACTCAGTACAGTATAAGAGGGAGGAGAGGAAAAACACACTCAGACTTGCAAAATACTGTCAATATAATCTCAATAAAGCTGACTTTTAGTTGTCTTTTGGAGTCTGTTCCTGATCTGGATAACCTTGAAGAGCTGACGCTTATCCACCCTCTTAACAAAAAAGCATTAGTGCATATTAACTCTACAATCTCTCTATTCCAGGAAGGGCATTATTGTTTCTCTACTTTAATGTCCTCAGATCACATTTCTATTTTCTTTAATTTATTATCCCACAAGTGAGAGGATTTGCCATTTGTAAAAACTGTCAATTATATATATACACACACACTCTCCATTCAGAACAAATGACTTACAAGCGGTGTGTCCTTTCCTCCTACAATGCTGAGTCCCAGACCTGATCGTCCTTTGGATATTTCAATAGTCATTTCTTGGCCAGGAATGATTGGGCACATGGCTGGATCTACTGGAGGAGGTGAAAAGTTGTCTGCAGCAAAAAATAAAAAGTATTACTCCATACAATTGGAAGAGTTGTGTAAACACACTGCAGAAGAATATGTTAATTAGAGTGTCTTAATGGATCTGATTAAAGAAACATGACTCTTGTAAAAACGTAAGTTTGTTTAAGAAAGTAAGTAAGTAAGTAAGTAAGTAAGTAAGTAAGTAAGTAAGTAAGTAAGGAAGGAAGGAAGGAAGGAAGGAAGGAAGGAAGGAAGGAAGGAAGGAAGGAAGGAAGGAAGAAAGACAGTTGAAGTACAACAGGGACATTTTTATAAATAGTATTGTATTGAAATGGTTGTTTCCAAAAAGAGAATCCACTGAAATGAAGGAAAATAATTTTAGCTGAGCAGCAATTGTTCCCTTGCAATGATTTATCTTCTAGGCAATAGGTTCTGTTATCACTATGCCACTAAATGCAGAATAAACGTTTGCTATTTAAAATCCATTTTGTTGCTAAGAGGGATTTTTCTCCCCTCTCCATATTAATTTGTTTACATAAGGCATACACAAAGAACTCAGTTTCTCAGTTCTTAACGCTCTCCGTCCATTTTTATTTTAAAATCCAAAAGTATAAAAACACATGTCATGTGTTGAGGCGACAATTTTAATTAAACGCAAAGTAGAAGAAGACATTAAAGGAAACTTCATTTTAAAAAAAGCTTGCATTTCTATGAAAATAAAAAGGACATGCTCAGTGTTGCAATAATTCAAGTGATATTTTAAACAATAGTTAAATGCCTTTAGACATTGACCTCAGTTAAACTATATTTTTTTTAAAAAAAATAAAAAGCAGTATTACCACCCTAAATTCTGAGGATTAACGCAAAGTACTTCTTGAGATGGAAATAACAGGTTCATACTTTGGTTGCTGAATTCTGTCTCTGGAGGATAAGATGATTCGGGGGCCAAAGAAATCTCATGTAAATTGATGGGGATGGGGTTCACTGTGGAAGACTTTGTTTGCTTTAACTGGTTTTGAAGCTGGGAGAGGCAAAAGAAAAAAATAAAATAAGTATTTGAATGTTTAACCTCCTATGAAATTCTAAACAAAAAGTTAAACCACTGTGCAGGTAATATTTACATGAATCAAGAATGGAGAATGAACAGTTCTAGTTATCTGTCTACTTTTGGAACATCAACTTCACATATCTCTACATGAATGTATGAAGAAAATATTTAAAGATAAACTCCTAACAAAAAGCTGTAAGAAACATTCATGTTTTGGGCTATTTTATGTGTCTCCTTTAATTGTCAATATATAAAATTAAACTGAAACAATGACTAATAAATAAAATCACTTCTTTTTTCATTTAAACAATAGAATTAAAATACCCACATTTTCTGGAGGCTGGTCTGCCTTAACTTGCTGGTCTTCAATTGCCTGTTTTTCAGCTTTGCTGCTGATATCCTAATCAATATGGATACATAAATTGTAAAATATTAGCTTGTGGTACATTGTGATACATTATGAACATTTGCAGTTGCCATGGTGCTGCTTCTGTTGAGGCAACAAGCTGATATTTGGTTTTCAGTCCAGAAGCAATTACTCATTGCCACAGTCCTATGACTAAGAATTTATAAATCTTTACCTGCAGCATTCTCTAAGATAAATATAAAATGTAAAACTTTTTACCTCACTTATTTGCCTTGGCTAAAGTATGAATCTAATCCATTTTATCTTTATTTGTTTGAATGTAACTTGTGCATTTGAATATATCAATCAATCAATCAAAGTGATTGAAGTGTTACCATGTTTGACATCTCAAATTTGTTTGTCCATTTGGAAAGGATCTTAAAAGTATAGTACTTATTTTGAGAACTTTAAGGATCGCATGATTAGAAGCTAGTCTAATGAATATTATCACATATTATCACTTAAATATGAGCCACCCACTTAAATATGAGCCAGCAGTGTGCTGCAGCTGCCAAAAAAGCAAACACAGTGCTAGGCTGCATTAACAGAGGGATAGAATCAAGATCATGTGAAGTGTTAATACCACTTTACAATGCCTTGGTAAGGCCACACTTGGAATACTGCATACAGTTTTGGTCACCATGATGTAAAAAAGATGTTGAGACTCTAGAAAGAGTACAGAGAAGAGCAACAAAGATGATAAGGGAACTGGAGGCTAAAACATATAAGGAACGGTTGCTGGTATTGGGTATGTCTAGTTTAATGAAGAGAAGGACGAGGGGGGACGTGATAGCAGTGATCCAATATCTCAGGGATTGCCACAAAGAAGAAGGAGTTAAGCTATTCTCCAAAGCGCCTGAAGGCAGGACAAGAAGCAACGGATGGAAACTAACCAAAGAGAGAAGCAACCTAGAACTAAGGGGAAATTTCCTGACAGTTTAGAACAGGGGTGTCAAACTGCCGCCCCGCAGGCAGATGCGTCATGCTGAAACCACGCCCACCCCAGCTCCAGCAATGGGGAAAAAGTCACGATATGTTGCGACATGTCATGTGACATGGCGAGTTTGACACCCCTAGTTTAAAACAATTAATCAGTGAAATAATCTGCCTCCAGAAGCTGTGAATGCTCCAACACTGGAAGTTTTTAAATGGACAGCCATTTGTCTGAAATGGTATAGGGTTTGCTGCCTGAGCAGGGGGTTGGACTAGATGACCTCCAAGATCCCTTCCAACATTGTTGTTGTTATTGTTGTTATTATTACTATTATTATTATTA